AAGAGCGGTACCACTACTACGGCCCTTGCCTGCTCCCAACCATATCCGAATTCCCCGCTGACATCCTTCCATGTCGGAATGGCTTTGAACGCGTCGGGAAACGTTGCGGTAGACGACAACGGGTTTATTTTAGAACTTCGAACTTGAGACTTAATAAGAAGTAAAACAAAAGAACATCACTAAGAGAAACAGAGTATGACCTCAATACACTTTGCAAATCTGCCAGCTCAAGATTATGATTGAAATTCAAATACCTCTCAGTTACAGAGATTTACTCCGGCAATCACTGTACTAAAAGCTCCAATTATCATTCTTAAACGCTTATTCTATAGTGCAAAACACTAATGCAAGGTCTTGCTCCAGGTATGTTTGTCTTTTTTCCGACAGATCTAAAAGTGAATTTTAGCTATGTAGCGAACCAAGAACTCAAAGAGGAGCAAGAACTCAAAGACAGTGTCACGCATTCAAGCAAACGGAGCAAGCTTTTTTGTGCGATTCGACTCAATTTTAGCTAAATAGAACCGAGTTTCACTAAAATTGAAACAATCTAACGAAATGTAAACAATTGCCGATGAATGGTTAACATGTCGGGAGCAGTCGAAGAGCCAAAATCGCGAAATGGAACAAAACCCAGAGATCTGAATATCAAGAACAGCCAAAGCCCAAATGCCCAGAAATCCAGACAATAGCGATCGAAGTCAACAAGGAAAATGCAGGAATGTGCATTGCCCAAGAAAGATTTGCGCACTGATTGACGAAAACAAAAAGAAGAGAGAGAGAGAATACCAGGAACAGGAGAAAGGAATTGTACGTGTCGACATAGAAGCTTTGGAAGATTGGCAATGGAGACATTGATCCGAGTCTCCTTCAATCTCCTCCTGCTTCGTGGCCGAATACTGCGGTTGGTTGGTCAGCCTTCTTCCTCCTGTTTTCAATTGGGGAATCTTCCAAGTGGCCCATTCTCCTTTTACAGAAAAAATAAATAAATAAATATTACAAACAACTTAACAAAAAAAAAATTGCAAACAAATGCCAGATTTGTTAGGAATTGGTGAAAGGAAATTATATTTTATTTTACCGATTAGATGTTATGCACTTTCATAGAATTATCAATTAAATGCTGGATTTTATAACTGCAGTTCCATCAAAATCTACCATAAGGTTGGGTTAAATTTTAAAATTTAATCAATTTCTAAATTTCTTTCCTAATATAAGATGAGAGATACATATTTTAATTCAACCAACCGTATGAGTTCTCGAATTCCAACATGTGTTTAAATTCGAAAGTAAATGATTCCGCTGGTAATTCTATGCATCTATTTCCCCAATATTAAATTTATGTCATTAACTACTACAACGTGTAATAGCATAAACTAAAGACAACGCGTCTTTTTGTTAATTTTCGTTAAGATTGACATTCTAAGCAAGCTAAGGAATGTTAAGGGTGGAATATTGATTTTTTGGGTTATTTTTAGATTTATCTTTTAATTAAAATTTTCTAGTTAATATTTATTTTAAAATTCATGTAATATATACTCTCTCTCAATTTTAATTTTTTTTAATTTTTTAAACCTTTATTTAATTTAAGAATTTATTTTTATAAATAATAAATATGTAAAATTAACTTTTATTTTACCTCAAACCCAGGTATCTACTCTAATTAGAAATAATATTGTTGCAATTTTTAGGTGCTGTTTTTTTTTTCCCTGAAGGGTTAAATTTTCAGACAACTGTCACGTGTTTTTTCTGAACAAAAGTTACTGTTATTGTTTTTTTTTCCACGAAATTATAAATACGTTTGAGCACGTGGAGTTACTTTGTATTCATTTATCAGATGCTTTTTCTTGACCGACCATGAGATACCTTCGCAGTCAATGTCCATAAATTACGGAGGGCAGTAAGTACCAGAGTTGAAGAGGAGTCCGAGTACCAAAGGTGAAAAAAAAAATTTAACAAAAAAAAATCGGTGATTGTCGTTTAAAATGGGAATACAATACTTGTATTAAACATTTTGACGAGAAAAATTAGAGTTCATTGGTTAAAACCGGTTATTTCTAGTTTAACTACAATTTGGTTTATTTTATTTTTCTTTTTTCTATTTAGTTTAGTTTTTTATTTCAGCGATCCTTTACTTTTTCAAAATTAGTTGTATTTTTTAATTTACAAAAAGATCTTGGTTTTTGAACTAGGAAATTAAAAAAATTTCAAAATATTTCTCCCTTGAATCTCCTATTATTCCATCTTAATAAAATTCTTTTTCATCAATTATCTATATCTTTAATCTATTTGTGTACATATATGTCAAAGTAGTAAATGAATAATTATACAAGTTTTTATTTTAATTTTCATAAGTACTGATTTGATATATGTTACAATCCATGTGATTCATAGATCAACAATAACATTAAAAAAAAACACATAACTACATTAACAGACTACGAGAATAGACAATTTTTACAAGTGGATAAAATAAAAATAGACCTAAAGAATATTTTTATTAATAAATTTTATTTGCATTGTGCATGGAATATAAACTATATTATAAGTTATTATTAAAGAGATGAGAAATTTTGGCCCTTATTTGCCGACGTAACCAATTCCACAAACGAGAAAGGCAATGGACTGCATGAACAAGTAGAGAGATAACCATGTCTTCCCAAAGATAAAGTCGTAGCATGCACAACCCATTATATATATCCCCACTATAAACTCCTTCATATTCACTCTGCAAAAAAAAAATCAAATCATTTAAATAATATTCCTACATAATTATTATAATTTTGAAATACATTCCATTTTGTTTTAAAGCAAATTCTCTATATTAACTTTTGCGAGCTAAAAGTAGGGTTAGATATTTCTGAATTTTTTTGGCAAAAATTAAATCCATGAATTATTGTTTTTTATAACCATAGAGTATATTAGGCATTTTCAACCCAGTTAATCCCCTAAATCCGGAGTCATGATTTAGTTACACAATTAATTGCGTTCCTCCTTTCCACTCGTAGAATCGAATTCAAAATCTTAAAATAATTTTGTTGTCACCTCTCAACTACTAGACCATCATCTATGGGTAAAATTCATAAATTCTGATATATTTGGTTTCGCTTTTTTTTCAATTTTTTTTATAAAAACTATACTCGTTGTATCGGTTTTCATTTCTATTTGTTTGGTTTGAGTTTAATTAATTTTATTTTAAAAGGATTCATAGCATTTGAAGCGCACACACCTTTCCCACATTTCGAAACGAGGCCTGGTCACGACTTGTGGAAGTAACTTAGTCTTGAGAGCATCGCCTAATTTTTCAGTGACGACCCATTCGTTAACCCTCCCTCCTTCGAGCATGCCGATAAAAGATCCCTTGCTTCTGTGCATAGCGTTCACATTCTCGAACAGGATCCAAAACACCACCAGGTAAAAGGATCTGTACGTAACGTACGTACGTAGGCCACCGTATATAATACAATATAACCGTCTTCAGTCAATAATAAAGAAAACCCATATAATCAAATCATAAACAATGTATTCAAACATTTCGAAATTTAACCCTAAACCCTAAACCCGCGAATGAGAAACGGAAATTTCTCCATACCTCGGAGTTGCGATTGCGTTGGATATTGAGATGACGGAGGGAGCATAGACCGTAGCCCATGTCGGAATGTGGACTTGGGGGAAGAAAACGCTCGTAGGCAAAATTATGCAGTAGAAGAAGAAGGTGAAGATGTGCACGACCACCTTACGTACGAAGAAGAAGCTGTAGATCACGTAGCACTTCTTCCACCATGTCACTCTCTGTTCAAGTTTTCAACTCAGTTTAAAATATATTTTCGATATTGATTTATCGTTATAAAATAATACATAAGAAACTAAACTAGGGTTTGAAACCGATAAATTAATAAAGACGGTATTTTTTAAAATATTTTCTGTATAAAAATGAAGATTTATTTTGATTTTTATACGGTTGAGATTTTAAATGAATAATTTTTTTTTAAAAAAAAATAGTTGTTATTATTGCTATTTAACAATTAACTTTACATTATGCAATTGTAGTTAAGATTAGATGATGTAATAATATTTTTATCCATGTTATAATTCTTAGTTATATTTAAGAACTAATCATGTGTTTAAATATATCATTTAAAATTTCAAATCAATGATCGTGAAAGCAGAAAGGCCACTATATATAATTGAGTTTTGTCTTGTCTCTGGGATTTGTACTATCAAATCTCACATGGGTGTGTGTCAGTGGGCGCATATATCTCTGTCTCAACGACATGATCAAGTACTACACATTATTTATTTATCGCCTTTAATATTTATTTATTTATAAGAAAAAATAAAAGGAAATGGAAAGAGGAGAGACCTTATTGTGGACGATTTCCATTGTCATCTTCCTGAAGAGATTAGCGGGTCCGCATGACCATCTGTGCTGTTGGAACCTAAACGCCTTGAATTTACATGGCAACTCACTCTTCACCTGCATCCATTCATCCCCCCCCCCCCCCCGTAAAAAAAAAGATAGTAAAATCTTTTACGTACCGTCAATCTTTCGGGTTTTTTTTTTGTATGTTAAAATCGTTTTTTGAAATTTAGTTAGAATTTTTTTTGGTATGTTTCGATTCCATAGATTCGGGCTTGAATAAAATATTCTAAAGGAAATAAGCGATTTAGGTTTGATAAGGATAATCTGTCGACAAAAAATAGATTTTTTTTACTAAATTATATTGGGGAGGAAAATGTATTTCATTCTAGTTTTAAAATCAAATATTATCATTCCAACAAAATCGGATATGACAAAAAGACGAGTTGAAACCGAATAAAATCAAACCAATCTTTAACTCTATCCATAAATAACCAAATAAACCCAATCGAACCAAAGGAAACCAAGCAAAACCGAATCGGAAATCGAATCGAAATAAGCCAAAATCAAAAGGGCTGGCCACACTGAAATGAATTAACGCCATGCAAATATTAGCAACTTCATTATATTTAAAAAATGAAATAATTACCGTGAGGTCGTTGACGAAGACAAACTTCCAACCACGAAGACCAGCACGAACCGCCAAGTCCATGTCTTCCACGGTCGTACGGTCCTTCCATCCTCCGGCGTCATTCATCGCCGCAATTCTCCAAACACCGGCCGTTCCTGTTCATGTTCATTCGCTTCCACACTAATCAACATTTAATCTTCTTCTAATCACGATTAACATGCTTAAATATTAAATAATAATAATAATTCAGCTCTCACCGTTGAATCCGAAGAAAGCATGCCTAGTGGATCCAGATTCTTGCTCCGCCATGAAATGGTAGTTGAGAGACATCTCTTGCATTCTTGTCATTAAGCACTCGTTGGCGTTAACTACGACGACAAAAACACAGTTTCATTCATTGTATTCCCCAAAAGTTTTTTTTTTGGTAAAATATTCTCCAAAAGTTTTTTTGTGGTGGAAATGAATATCGCAAATTTCGAAACTTTCTATTGGGTTTCTCCAAAGAAAATGCTCGGAGAGGTTATTGTAATTAAAAAGAGCGAGGCAGAAAGCTTAAGGGCAATAGCGTAAATATTAGACTAATTATGATTTTACTTAGCGTTAATTATTACTACGGTAGGTAAAACCCTAATCTATTATTTACGATAGTACCCTTGTAAAAATAACCGCGGGAAAAAAAAAAACCACCATCTCTCGAGAGCATACCGAATTTCCAACGAGCTTGGACGAGCGCGACGTCGGAATTGTGGACGAGGAAGGGGATAGAGCGTTCGAGGAAATCTGGTTCGGGCTGGAAATCGGCGTCGAAGATCGCCACGTAGTCGCATTGCTTGACGTAGTTGTGCCTCATCCCCTGCCTCAGAGCTCCCGCTTTGTAGCCGCTTCGACTATCTCTTATCTCGCATTTTATGTTTATGCCTTTGCTTGCCCATTTACCACACTCAACGTTCACCATCTCCTATTATAATTCAACGTCAAGAATCATTTTCCAAAGTGTTAATCCCTTAATTGGCTTAACGCTTCCTAATGGAACTCATTATCGAATACCTTAATCGTAGGGTCCGTAGAATCATCCAAAACTTGAACGATAAGACGGTCCGAAGGCCATTTAAGCATACAAGCGGCTCCAATGGATAATTGAAAGACCTGCATGCATGCATATTCGTGAAACCGCGATATAACTTTTGATTGCGGACAATGTAATGAAATATATATATATATATATACCTCTTTTTCGTTGTACATTGGTATTTGGACAAGAACCATCGGGTGGTTCGAATGTCCAAGTTCGGCATCCTCCTTTAGCGCCTCCCATTTGTAAACTTTCTCGGGTTTTCGGTTGAACAACTTCACAAAGATCACTACAATGCTCATGTATATACTCTCCATGAAAACAGCCAGCGACAACACCAAACACAGAGTCACCAAAAACTCGAACAGTGGGAGGATAACGAAACTCCTCGTCTGATTCCAAATGAATCCGATACTGATTTCAGCATTGGATTCAAGCTCGCTCGACCCTGCATTCGAGCTCCATCCGTGGAACTAATATGCGACATATACACGTGAAAAACAACTGTATGATCAGCTCAAAGAACTTCTAGAACGAGAAATTTCAAAAGAGCAGGAAGAAGAGATGGCTCGATTACCAGAGGCGAGAGGAGGGCAAGGGACGAATCGAAGAGGAAGGCAAAGGGCTTTAGAAGGGGAGACATTTCGCCGAACCAATTCTCACCTCACCACATGAGATGGGGAATCAATGAATGGTATATGGTATCCTTCGCCCCCCTGCAAGTGAAGCTATTTATGCATTTTTGGACTTAGTGGGATATCTATTTTGTCGTACACTATTCATGCACTCTCCTTCTCCTCACATTCCAATTTGATGGGCCGTGGCCTTGCATTGTGAAACGCACATATACGAACAAACAGTTGCAACCGCTATCAATTTCTAGCACCAATTTTCACGTTTTTGAGTGTTTCTATATTATCACCATCTAACATGCATGTTCTCACTCGTAATTAACCATCCTCCCGTAATAAAGAATAACAAATAAATAAATAAAGAACGAAATATCCGTGCAGATATTCCCAGGTTATACCATGAAAAAAATGCAGAAAATATTAAAAGGAAAAAAGAAAAACCCTAAAAGCCTTTTTTTTTTTTAAAAAAAAAAGACAACCTAAAAGATTCGGTACGTTCGACGGCGAACGGCATGAATCCGTGTCCCGTCAAGACATTGGACATGTACGAGATCCGGTCGCTAGGCAGCGATGCAAATAATTCGATGTGGGGGCACTCTTCCTTTGGCATCTCGAGGAATTGAAAGGAAAATAAAAAAATAAATAAAACGGGAATAAAATATAAATAAAACAAAAACAATATATAATAAAAAAAAAAAATGAGAAGAACGTGCATGTGCGTGCTATACCTAATCAGGACCAATTTATTTCTTCACAACCGTTTCTATTTTTTACGTCATTTTCAAGTCCCCGTACGGACTTCTATTCTAGGGGAAACATCGCAATCCGTTGTTACCCTAAATTTGCATGATTGTTCATTTTGTTTTCTATTGTATAATTGATAGTATATTTAACATTTTGAAATTAAGTTTACTAAGGGGACACAAGGCCTTTTTTAAAACAAAAAAATGCGTTGGCAAACCAAATTTCTCGAAGTTTTATAAAAGCAAGGGATATATGTCGGCAAGTTTTTAAGAATCTTGAAGAGTTTTTTTTTTAAACAAAATTGCGGAAAGTGAAGTAACGTGATGTTCTAATTAGATAACGATGTATGTGGTTACTTTAAAGAAAATCACAGTTGTTCTCTTGATTATCGTGCGCAGACTTAATTAGATGGCATGATAGGGTCACTTAATTACCCCTAATATCACCAAGATCAGTATTAATTATTTAAACTAATTTATATAAAATTAACAAAAACCAAACTATTGCTCTACATTTTTTTTTCATCCTATTATTATTAGTATTTGAAAAAAGTTTTGGTTATGCACGTGGGCGATGGCACTTGTTAACGTGTGGTAAAATGTGAGAAAATTCTTTTAACTCTCCGAATATATATTAAAAATAACAATTTAGGAACTCGTATATTAAGATTTCGTAGTGTGTTTTTTTTTTTTGTGGCGTGAATTTGTTAAAAAAAATTACTCTTTGGATAAAAAAAAAGTCTTACGCGGGAGTTTTGTTTAGAAGATGTAAGTTATTTTGTTCTTTTTTTTTTTTTTTGTAACCGGGTTTTCTGGACCAATGTCCAAACTATTTCCGGGACCGGGAGCCAACCATATGATTTGAATTATGCGTAATAATTTTATACCACTTGAATTATGCGTAACAATTTTATACCATTCGAAAATCTACATGAAATTTACGTAAAAACATCATTGAACCAGACAAATAGGATGTCTGGAAAATAAAATAGAATATCTGAAAAATACAGCGAGAAATAGACAAATATCATACCTGAATTAAGTATGGCTTGCAGAGTTATGTGGATCTTCCAACTTCTATGATTTTGGAAGCGACGTACGTCACAATCTAAATCTAATGTTTTTTTTACTAAGAACATTGCATGATTCTCCTCTTGCTGATTTGTGGTATGTCCCCTTCATATATATACGTAGTTTTCATTAACAATATATTACAACATGCAACCCAAGTGGGGTTTTTTTTTCTATATGTTTATTAATTAGATTTCATTAACGATGTATTAATTGTAACATGGAATCCAAGTGGCACCAAGGAAAGATTATTAAACATTTGACTCACGACTTCACCATGCAATTAGGTTACAATAAGTAATTAAAACGGGCTTACCAGAAGACACGCTCGTCCACCACATGGGTACAACATGTTCCACCAAGTTTCCCGACCACCGCATGCAGAAATGTATAAACATGCGTACTAGAGTATATTTCAATTTTTTTAAATTCAAATTGCAATTATTGATTTGTAATTAATGATTACGCAAAACTCTTCATTCCTAGGTCTATTAAATAAGTACGCGAAGAATCGGAAGGACATTAATGCGAATATACATTAGAGCATACTAGAGACAGATGTATATTTTTTTTTCGTATCATTATCTTATTATTTTCCGTCAGTTGTCACTCCAATTGCATTCACCGCTCACAGAACCGACAGAATATCATATTATTTAGTTGACAGTTTCTAATAACTGATCAAGTGGACACTAACTTCGCGGTGAATCTCTTCTATCGGTCGGTCTAATATTCATGGAAAGTTGTTCAAAGAATGCGGATACATATATTATTATCCACCTCTAATCTCATTTTATTACACGCATAAGCGATGGGTCCACCAAGTATAACTTTTTTAATGGTGGAACCCGTCTCACAATCCTTCAGGTCGAACAACATCTCCCGACCCCTGTTCAATAGTCGATAAACCACGCGGAACAGATAAATCAATCGAAACTGACCGACTCAAAATGAAGTTCAGATTTCGGAAATAATTGAATCCACACTCTCAAATAGAGAGAGCTTGTACTTTTTCAATTGAGTTGAGGACTTCTCGGGTCCATCGAATATTATACAATTTATATTGCTAAGTATCTCGTCTCATTGTCTCACGTGAGTTATATCGATCTGTTATACCAAATCTCTTGTTCTCGATCTCTTTTTTTCTTTTTGAATGAAAATTGGATTTATATTAAAAAAATAGTGTATATATAATTATACTTTCAATTGTAATTAGATCAACCCTCAACCCGTATGTACAGAGAGTTGTACACGCAACATGAGACAAATATTGCAACATGATTATCTAGTAACTTTTTTAAAAATCAAATTGATTTTTAGATTTACTATTAAGCTTCGGCGTATGGTCAACTTTCATAAGCGGATTGAACCAATGATATGAGAATTTCGATTATTCTTTTCAATTTGTTTTCAAGTGGCAATGGACTCTATCTGTCGGAAAATTACTTAATACGAAAGATATTGCTTGCATTAATTTCAAACCTGTAAATTTAGAATTTGCAATTTATTCTCATGAAATCTCACGGCGAAATTGGTATATATTGGTACTATGTTTAATTAAATTAAATTTTTATGGTATTCGGAAAACTCCACATTTCTAATGTGATTTTATTGGTTGGATCTGATATTTCATATGAAAATCAAACCAATTTATTTTACTAATATATGAAATCCCAAAAGAAATGGTCAAAATCCAAAATAACCGGGCGTCGCCACACAAGGCAAACCCAAACCGGCCGGACCGAACTGACTTTGGTTTAATTCGGTTCAAATTTTAACACACGCAAACCGAACCGGTACTGCACGCTCAAAACAGGGGTAAATTAGTAAACACCAGTTTTTTGTGAAAAACATATGATATTAACAAAAAAAAACGTAAATGAAGGGGGAAAAAGAAAAGCTGTGGGAATTTGAAGGGAGCCGCCGTCGAGTGCTCTTACACTGCCGAGAAGACGGGTGTTTACAATTCTGCTGCTTCTCATCGATTACGATTGCAAGGTCTGTTTATCGTTCTTCTTTTCGATTTTGTCCTATTGTTTTCTTCCATTCCTGTTTGGTTCCTGGGAAAATTTTTGCCTTCAAGCGTAGCTTTTTGTTTACCCTAATTCCCTGTAATGGTAAGCGTTGACGTATTCTTGTTGCTGGGTTTTGTTCGTTTTTTGTTAATTTTTCTTCTCTTGTCTTCTATTATCTTTTGGGTTCTTAGAAATCGCTATGCTCCATATCTAGCAACTCCGATCATGTTCCAATTGTCTAATCTCGTATAGTTTCGGGTGCTAAATTGATGAAGCATGAAACCCAGAAAGACAAATTTCGGACCAATCCATTTGTTGTGATGTGAAATGAGTTGAAACGTTATGTGTGTTTCTCGTGGATGAATGCAGATTTCGGAGGCTTGATTTGAAATGGAGATCATTGAGACCCAAGATTCAGCAAGTCGAAAGGGTCTGGTTAACGTGAAATTCAGGCTTGGATCGGAGACTCACATGGTTGATGTGAATAAGGGCGGTACTGTGGTGGAGCAATTGGTGTCAATGAAAGAGGAGAGCATGAAGATACTGAAGGAGTTCATCACAAAACATAACGTCCCGAATGATGTTCCTGATGACTTGGTCGAGGACCCATCTGATGACGACAGCCAGGATGTCTCAGAAAAGGGTAGCACGATGTCGAAGAAGACGAAGCTCGTGTAGTAGTAAGTCTCCCTCTCTCTACACACACGCGCACACACTATCATAGTTATGAACTCTTAGCTTGTTTCAGTTAGCCACTTCCTGTCTAGTGTATTAATCCTTTATTCACATATTCTCTTCTCGTAGGTTGTCTGTCTGTTCATTGTTACTCATCATTCCTGCCTGTTGCTCTTTAGAAATCCATTCCCAACGCCTGTCGAACATGCATGATGCGTTAGATGCCTATGCTCTTGGGGAAGTTCCAATTGAAGAATCTGTTGCCTTTTTTATGGAAGACAAAGGATTAACAATTATCTTGTAGTCAGTGATTGTGTAATGATATATTCACGGTACAATACAATGATGTCTATTATGAAAACAATCGTTTACCCCTTATTCATAAATAATAAGACAGTGATTATGTGAATAAAAACGTCCAAAGTGATGTGGTTCACGCCCTTATTCGGAATGATCAAAGCGATATCTGGCTTTGCTCTGTACAAAGCTAACAAAACCACACACAGAAACTCCTCCATTTTCTTACATGACGGATATTCATCAACGTGGTCTGAAGCCTCAAACTTCACCCGGGAGCATGGTGTCCACCGGTCCAAGATCGCAATAGGCTACCCCCTGAACGTGTAATGAACCAAGACCGAAACTTATATCAGTTTCATTCTTTTTTTTTTGCATAGACTTTATCCTTTTATGACCGACTTGGCTCAGCGGTGAAACCATTTACCGTGGGACTTGTGGTCTCGGGTTCGAATCTATCTCTCTACATTAAAAATATAGAGGTAAAGTGGCCTAGTATATTCCCTTCCCCAGCAACTCTACTGGATGGAGATACGAACTGGGTTGATCCTTTAGACTTTATCCTTTTATAAGCGGAATTAACAAGAGATCTCATGTTATTAGGATTCCGTGTCAATTCACGTATACGCTATGATTTCTCTCTTTTTTCGGCTCTTTCCTTCACTTGGTAGAGAAGCATACCACCCTTTGACGGGTTAGGTATGGAGCTCTACAGGGGTCACCCGACCTATTTAGTCGGGCATCGGTATAACGTATATATTCTTTTCCGAGCGAACATCCTACAGTAGATTCAATATATTCCAAAGGAAAAAGACGATTGTATCGGGTAGGGGACTTACGTCGCCAGTGAGGTGTGCCACACATCTCTTCTCCGCTACTAGTTCCTCTTCCGACTACATAACTTTGCCATATTAGTTGGACTCTCCACCGAAAATAGGATATGAATAAAGTGTAACTATTCCAAACTTTCAATTACAAGTAGCTAAAATGTGAACCATTCTAAAACTTTCAATGATAACAAGATGAAGGAATACTCTACCTTGGCAATCCGATTACGAAGGTAGTCGTCGAATATTACGTCCTTGACAAGCTCGTAATCGCCATCGCCCTATAACCAAAACCGGGCATTGAGATTTTCACATTCCAAACGAAAGGAGAAAACCCCGAATTTGTGGAAAGAGGACATGGATTACAAAAAAAAAAAACTTACTTTTGATCTGCATGGCATACTGAAGACAAGATCCTCTGCAATGCCATAAGGATTTCCATTTGTGTACACCTAAATTACAGAACACCAAGAACCACTTCAATGTCCGAGAACTAATCCTTAGCCATTGTTATTCTCCAAACTATGTTCTTGGTCGCAAATAAGCTCGAAGACTAAAAAACTCTGATCTAGCGATTTACAATTTAGATTTTACGGATTCGAACGAAGAAAAGACAAAGACGTACCCCGGACGAAAACCAGTCACCCTCGGGAGTCGGAGTTATCAGGGACTTTATGGCGTCTGCGATAGAAACAGCGGTTGAGGCTGCTGAAGATCGGCCCCATTTCTGTATCAACGCACCACCTCTCTGCGATATCGGTCAAGAAATGTAAGTCCAGAAAAAGAATAATAACAATAAAGAAATAGTTATAACATATTTAAGTCAGATAATTACGTATTTACAAAATACCGTCAAGAAATGTAAGTTCAGACATTATTCACCTTTTGCACGATATTAGTGAATTCTTCTTCTAACCACTTGTGGTCTCTGATAACCTCCTTGACCGGCGACCCGTTAATTCTGGCATTTAAGAAGTCCGGAACCTGGTTTATTTCGCGAATCAGAGAAACAACTCGGGATTAACGGTAAGAACAAATCACTAGAAACGCCAAAACATGACAAACCTGAGTTGTCGAGTGATTTCCCCATATGGTCATATTGGACACTTTGTCGTAGAAGACACCGGCTTTAAGGGCAAGCTGCCGGACCCGGAAGAAAATGTCAGTTAGTGGACTTGGTATCGATATGAGAAGCATATTAGGAAAGATCTGCACCTGGCATTTTGCTCGGTTTTCGTCCAACCTCGTCAAGGCATGAAAATTCTTCGCGGGTATGTTCGGAGCATTTTTTAGACAGATCAACGCACTGAATTGAAACGAGACATAACAAACATCAAATCAGCAAGTGTTAAAAACTAAACTAAACTAAACACGATGAACAAATGTCCCTTACTTTGTGTTGCAAGGATTTCCCACCACCATAACCTTGACGTTATGAGAGGCGACCGCGTTAAGAGCTCTGCCCTGTGACATTACAAAAACGTATTAAAGATTCAAGATCCGCATGAGATTTGATTAAAGATTATCGAGTAAAGTAATTTTTATGTACAAGTTTCTTTTTTTTAGCAAGAACCTGTTCGGCATATATCTTTCCGTTTATGTCCAACAAGCCGGCTCGTTCCATTCCCGGCCCTCGAGGTTTAGCCCCGATCAGAAGAGCCCACTCAACGTCTTGGAAAACTTCATATGGATCTGTTCCTATGCTAACTTCTCTCAACAATGGGAACAATGAATCTTCAAGCTCCATCGCAACCCCTACACCATAATTGGGCATTTCCGACGAGTTACAATAGACGAGAATTTGCTGGTAAATACATGAATTCAAATAAAAATATCAGATTTTTTGATGGATCTGTATACTATTCAAGATATGTTTGTTTCATCACGTAGAAAAATCTGAAAAAAATAATGTACCTTCAAGAGCTTGTAACGATCTTTCCGATCCTAGCAGTTTCAGAGCCACGGGTTGATCTGGGCCAAACACCTCACCGGAAGCGAGCTGCCGCAGAAAAAATCCCGAAAAACTCCGATAAAAGTAATTCAGCATTCAAAACATGATACGAAAAGTAGTACTTTGATTATGACTAAGACTCAACCATGGTTCATAAAGTATTAGTAAATTCCGATATAATCGCCTGAAATTGTAACTCTCAGTCGCAGCAGCGAGCTTTATAACGGTCCAATGTTGCATTTCATGAGGGGAAAAAATATCTTATGAGTTACTTACTTTGAAGAGTAGATGGTTCGATATCATTCCTGCAGCACCTGAAACCGCGATATTGATTAATTTCTTCCAGGATCTCGTCTCTTCTTCCTGAAAAACATATCATATCGACATTTATCTTGATAAACATTAAGGAAACGCAAGCAACTCGATGCCCGATATAGCATCCCCTCTTATAACCTCTCGTAATTCTAATGCCATCCTCGTACTCGCAGGTTCGTGTTAAGCTCACAACCAAGTGGATAAAGCGAAACATGTGCGTGTTATCATTGGTTTTATGGCATTAGATATACCTTGAAAACATTCGTATTCGATCCTACCTACTCGGAATTTCCAACGTTATGGGCCCTTTCGATTACGATAAGATTCAGGGTTTTCCGGTGAATATCGGAGGGATCTTGGTTTCTTTAATCTTTCAGAGAGAAAATACATAACCTAACAAAGAGAAATCATAAAATGTAGCAAACAGAAGAACATCTATTCGCGACCAAACCGGACAAGATCGTCACTTACAGCTTTGAGATCATAAGTGAGACAGAACACGCCGTAGCAGTCGTTCTTGATTTTAGGCTCTCCTTCCTGAACAGCGACAGGGGCTTGGCTGCAATCCATTCCATATTCGTGGAACCAGTCGATTAGAAAATTGATCACACGAACGAAACCCTTAATGATAACTCATTAAAAACACACTGATACGCGAGAGATGGTGAATCAAAATTGTAAAATATAGATTCAATACGTATATAATGTGACAGTAAGCAACTTGAATTCGAGAAACAGAGCAAGAGAACCGTCGGACCAAACAGCTGTATTTTGGCGTCGTCACTTATTCAGACAGTTTTGCAAATGAAATCAGAACGACATAATCGATTGGGCGATCAATTACACGCATGAAAACGACAGTCTGAACAACGATATCGAAAAGAACCGGACACAGAATCTGAGAAACAGAGCATAGAGATCAAAGACATGAGAGAGAGAGATAAAGCAAGCTTACTTTTGAGAAACAGAGCAAGAAATAGCGGCGTTTCGAGTTCGGTGAAGGGGAGAAAGAACCCCGAGACAGCGATTCGAGATGCTACGCCGTTTCGCTAAGAGACGAAGCTGAGAAGAATAATAAGAAGAAGACAACGACGACATCGTTTTGGAGGACGAGAGCTCTGCCATCGCCATTGCCGCAGAGAGAGAGAGAGAGAGAAGTGATGGAAACAGTGAGGAGAGAGGAAGAGGAAGAAGAAGGAGAGAGGATTGGGGGGGGGGGGGGG